CCCTGGTCTGGTCAAGCCAGGTCACACTCGCCGGTCGGAGAGGAGGCCCTTGATGTAGTAGACCTGGCAGTCCATCTATAGCTATATACATCTGTCTTGAGATATCTTAGGATCATGTGAGTGTTGAGATATGTTGAGATATGTTGAGATATGTTGAGATATGTTGAGATATGTTGAGATATGTTGAGATATGTTGAGATATGTTGAGATATGTTGAGATGTTGAGATATGTTGAGATATGTTGAGATATGTTGAGATATGTTGAGATATGTTGAGATATGTTGAGATATGTTGAGATATGTTGAGATATGTTGAGATTCTGGGATCACCAAGATCTGGAATACCTAACAGACAGGCCATGAAAACCTAACAGTCAGCTCTTGGCCTAACCTGTTGGTTCTCCCGAGGACCCAGATCAGCGCCTGAAACCCAGAGACACCGATCAGAATGAGGAACTCCACGACGCAGAAGGACAGCCTGAGGTCGTTGAAGCTCTGTAAACATCAGGGTTCAGTGAAGTTCAGTATTTTCTTAGCCCATCTTAGCTCTGATAATTGGGTATATTGGATTACTTCATCTTGGAAAAAAAGTTCAAACCTCACCGAGCCAGTGGTTTCTTATGATTCCTGGGGTATTTCCCTTTAGCTCTTGCCATTGCAAAGAAATCTCAACGAATTCTGGGCAAACCGTAGCCATTGACCCATCATCCCCTCCAATGCAGCACAAGCTACACACGGGTGTGGATGTTTTCCACGGCCTGGGCAGAAATGGAGAAGGACAACGAATGGTAAGAAGAGGCATTTTCCAAAGTTGTCACAGGAAAGATTACCATCCACCATGGGATTTTTTGGGTACCTTATTTCTGGACAAACCCAAATTAGGGTTGGAAATGGTTGGAATTTCTGGTGATTCCCAATGACAGACCTCGGCGTTCTACACAGGGAACCTCCTCATAGTTCCTCCATAGTCATAGAAATAGACATCACTTATTGTTTTTCGGTTAAGTACTCAAAATAGTCATCAAACCATTATGTTTCACCCTCAAAAAAAGCCGTCGCTCAAATGTCGACCTGCCTTCATGTGAGACTTCTGTCGAATCCTGAGCCACTTTGATGTGTACGACCGCAACTTCAACAGTCGCTTTAGCTTTGATACAGCTACGTCCAGCTACCCTCTGGTAAACTAATGTAACTATGGAAAATCACCATTTTTAATGGGAAAACTCACTATAAATGGCCATTTTCAATAGCTACGTTAAATTACCAGAGGGTAGGTTGTGTCAGAAAAATGGAAAAATGGTCCCATGCCAAAATTCCAACACAAAGCAGTGAACTACACACGGCCTGAAGCTCTTGGCTACTGGTGCAGCCCAAGGTCCAAAGGTAGGTAGACTCAGTCTGGATATCCACCAAAGTCTTTTCAATGGACTTCACGTGGTCCTGCACAGGGAACATATCTGCTTTGATTGAGACATCTATATTAATAGGTACGAGTATGCATACTATGTGCATCATATGGCCTCATATGATAATTTCACTAATTGTATTACACAACTGAGGTATTTGATAGATATTCGTTATTAGATCTCTTTCACTTCATCAGTTGGCCCCAGTTCGCACACAACAAGGGAACATGACGGAAGGTTTGGCCTCCATGGTGGTAAGGTGCTGAGGCTGCAAATGCGTCTCGTTGCCCTTGCCGACTGCGAAGGTCACCATCTTCTCCTGCCGACATTTCAGTGTTTTGAGATGATGTTTTGATGATGATATTAGTTCTATATAGTTCTATGATACTGGCTTGGGTGTTTTTTTTGTTTTTACGACACTTTGATATATATATATATGTATATATATGTAGATTGATGATCTTTGATACCCATGGATACCCCGTTTAGTTTCTGGCGAGGCATGAGCCCGTTGAACTATCATTCACCATCATTCACCAGGGTTTACCCAATGGAACCGCCACTTTTGATCCCATTGGTCCTCCATCCATCTGTGGTTGCTAACCTTGGCGGACTGCTTGGTTGAAGGGCAAGCAATGCATCTGGCGGTATCCACAACTGTACTTGGAGAGATTCAACCTGGTTCAAAACGGGATGAACACTATGGATTCTTTTTCCCACAAGTCACTGAGTCAAGGAAATGCATGTATTACGGTATGACGTTTTGAGGCCAAAGCCGAGATGGATACTGTTTGCGCACGATATCGTGCGGGATATCAGGCGGTTTTCGTGCGCAACAACGAAACCGGGATATCAGGCGGCCCTGGGAACCTGACCAAAGTACTTCAATCATTGCACTCTAAAAGGATCCAAGGCCTTCGTTCCATTTTCAGGTGAACAATCCAACTTTTTTTGACCAAGGAGTATGCCGAGTTCAAATATGCCATAGGTATCCATAGGTCACATCCCCACTTCTTCCTGGTGACTGTATATGGTTATATCCTCATAAACTGCTGCTTGAATTCCCATGTCTGGTTTTTCCCTAAGAAATGGCACTAGTAATCGACAAGACACCCTTTGCAACTCTCAAAAGACGGTATAAGTATGTATTAATAAGTTGCAATCAGAAAATCCCCTTGCAACTTTGGCGTACAGTAACGTCCATTTTATCATTTTGCGAGCCAAGAGCCATGTCTCCATGTTTGGTCAACTCCTAATACTCCTAACACCAAACACACCAATCACACGGAGAGCCAGGAGACGATGAAGGTGTAGGTTCCGCTGCGCTTGGCGATGAAATGAAACAAGCCCTCGGCCTCCGGAAGCTCTGCGCTAACCATGGCAGCCACAGACGTGGGCCAACCATGTCAGAAGGGAATCACTTTGTCAGCTTGAAATGCGTAAGTCGGGATATGAAATAAAAGTTAAATTACTCGTAGGATTCGGACTTCACATAATTGAAGTGTCTGGTTCCTCCATTCTACATGGAAACGACATGCAAAATATGATAAAACTCTCCTAGCCCATGGCATCCGCCCTGATATCAAAAATCCTTGGGGTTCCTTCACAACTGGCACCGCCAAGCTTCCGCCCAGGCGCCTGATCCTTCTTTTCCTTGGTGCCGGTGCTGGGGTCGTTAGGGTCCCAGCCGCAACCCCCCCCGGCTGATCCCCATAGTGCCAGGTGTCAAAGATCACATTGCCTTTCGGATCGTGGACGCTAAACCTCGGGAGCCAGGCCCACCTGGGGAGTCCTCATGGGCCAAGCTGTAGGATGAATTGGAAGATCAAGGTCAATTGATGTTCATTTCACATAATTCCATATTATTCCACCGCATTTGGTCTGTGATTCCGGGAGATATCTCACAACCCTTTCTTTGCCAAGCTTGATCAGACTCGGCCCGGTGATTTAGTTGGGATTCGGGATAACGCTTGGAAGGTGCTACATACTGCCTACATTCAGCTGCCATCGTGAATAGCATATAAATCAAACAAAGTCAAACTGTAAATATAATCTATGTCATATATAGAAACTCTTAACATAGCACCATTCGAATCAGTGGACTTCCCCCCACTTGGAGCCACCCATGGCAACAGTGGCCACTAAGCTTCCAGACTCCACCGTGGAAGTTTCCTGTCCAGCTGAGACATATGTGTTTCTTGGGATCTGTTTGTCTGGGTCAAAATATCAGAGCAATTGGCTGGTCATTTGGCTGTGGGTCAGTTCATCCAAACCCCTTCTGTTCACACCAAAGCCATATATATATATATAATGTTCTGACCTCCCATTCGTCGGATCACCATCCAAGTCACCGATCCACACATGACGTTGGGTGGCTGGGTCCATGGATGTCCATGGCCAAGTGCCATCAGCAATATAGCATGTTCTGGGCTGATCATGGCTGATTTACCGCCTCTGATGCCGAAGCAAAGAAACCACCGCGGATCAGCACAGGCGGGCTGTTCTCAGGGATGTCCTGAGGGCCATAAGATTCTTTGCAAAACGATGGGAGAGGAGCGTTTTTTTCATGAAGACATGTGTTATCATGTGTTATCATGTGCTCATCTTTCCAGGTTGTTGCTTTTGGCTTGGGACACCATCTACAATACAGGTCAATCTCTTCCAAGATCTTGAAGTGTAGGACCTTGAAATATCTTGGAATCATCAAACCACATTCCCAAGACACGTGGGGCGACTGATTGGTCAGCTCCAGAATAGACTGTGCTGGGAACCATGGTGACTTCTATGTCTTTCTTGCTGTTCAAACTTCGTACTTCCTGCAGTTAGGTCTAAAACCAATCGTGGATTGGTAGCATTCCCTAATCACCATTTAAGGCATCACACGAAGTTTTGGCTGCTGCTCATTTTGTACGAACAGGGCATCCCCTTGAATTCAGGGACCAAACATATCAAAAAACAAAGAATTACACAGCAGGATGATCATCCATAAGTCCACATGAAGCCTACTCCACAGAGCAAAACGTAGTTCTTGCAATGTGTCAATTCTTTCATCTTAAAAATCGCTTCTCACCTCAGGACCTGAAGCTGAAACCGAAGCCCCAACCTCCTCCTAATCCATCCTCCTTGACCCCCAGCAGACCTCATAGAAGAACTCATCGCTGCGGCCCGGCAACGGGAAGGTCAGCAGTAGCTCTGGGGTGAAGCCCTGGCGATGACCATGCTGCGAGCCAATGACATCCACTGCCGCCCAGTGGTAGCCTCCATATGCTTGTCCCACTCGTCTACCAAGCTATTGGGTGCCGCCTCAGCCGGGATTGGGATTTTCCCCTCGGTTGGGATATTCAACTGTTCAGACACGTTTAACCACCCAGACACGTTTAACCACCCATCCAAATCACACCACAGGGTTGTATGATTTCCTGAAGCTTCCCTTAACAGCCTTAGATGCAGCATATCCTACGTACATGTTTGTTAAATGGGAAAACAGTTTAGAACAATTCCAGCTGCATGAGAAACCCGGAAACCAAGTGGGTTTGCCCAGAAATGCAGTATACCATTGTAAGCCTCTGTTCGTCTCAATCTCTCTGTTCCTATCAAAACATCCCACCCTCTTCCTCTATCTACCTAAACTAGCCACACACACACATATATATATATAATATGCTAGAAACATGGTGAAATCATGTTGAATGTTGAAATCCCCAAAAGATCATGGTGAAACCACCATTTCTGCTGGGTTCAATCACCAATTCCCAGGCCCAGATCTAGGTGGCACACATCGTCCTGGGCAGCTTCCAAGACGTCTCGGCTGGGATCTTCCTTGACGCCTCCCAGGACCTCATAGTCCTGGTGTGGGAACTGCTGGAAAAAGAACTCATCCCTTCCCGCTAATATTCAACACCCCCTATATAAATGGGTGCAAAAGGTATAGGTCCCCTACTGAGCCATGGTTTTTGGGCGGTGTTTATATAATTTATACAATATTAGGGGGCTTGCATTACATATCATTATAATTCACTACATAAATATGATGGCTTGTAGATTTGAACTTTTTTTGTCACCAAAAGAATGGGTCTGATACTATTCCTCAAACATGGGGTACTGAGGGACACACAAAACTGATCTTTTCGAATTTTGAAGTATCATTTTTTGAGGTAACCGAAATTGAACCACAGCAATATGATGAAAAATTGGTTGAACCCAAACAGATAAGGATTCTGACGATTTTATCCGATTTTACCATCAAAAGTGGAGATTTTGCTAAACATGGGGATTCGACCATCCAAACATGGGATCATTCATGGACTGAAAGGAAATTCACCAAGAAACATGGACAAATAAGCTGCCAGCAACCAATAAAGACAGGTGATATGATCACGGTTTCAGGCCATGGGAAATTACACGGCAGCAAGGGCTACAGTGCTACAGCTTCCAGGATTCCAGGGCTTCATTCCGGTTTTGAGTGGCATCCATGATCCACTTTCTGTATCCGAGACCCAAAGACTGAAACCCAACCAACACTACGAGTACTGTTGGGAATTTGTAACAATGATTCCCCCATAGATCAAAAAAAAGGCTGGTGTGTGGTGCCCGCCAACTATAAAAATCGGAGAATCATCCCCGGGGTGACCAAAGAAACATACAAATGATGCCACCAACCAAAGAATGACAAACCACAAGTGTCTTGCAACTCTTCAAATTTTGGATTGGTTGAAGATTGTTTCAGGGACATCTATAGGAAACAGCTATATATACATCTGGTTGGTGGTTGACCTACCCCTCTAAAAAATATGAATTCGTCAGTTGGGATGATGACATTCCCAATATATGGAAAGTCATAAAATTCCAATCGGTTCCAGTCACCACCAATCAATATCAGCCATCATTTATAGTTGACCATGAACTATAACCATAATTAGATTTCCAAACCACCAACCAGACATATATTTCATGGACAAATCCATGGTTTCCGGTGCAGAAAAATTCCGAACCAATCCACCAAGCCAAAAATGGGTCCTGCTCGACACCGCCTTCTGCTCTCAGGCCTGTGGGAACGGCAAACGTCACGTACAGAACACATATCCCACTAGTATATACAACATCAATCCTAGTATAAAGAAATATAATCCGTAATCTGTAATCCCTATAAATTTATAGTATCCATTCGTATCCGACAATATAATATGCATATGCATATGCATATATATATATATATAAATGTAAATATAAATATAAATAATTATAATTTTAAATAGAAATATACATACACGCATTGCATACAATGACAACAGCACTAGTAGCATTGATTGATCAAATCATGCTGTGCCTCGCAGGAGAAGCAATGCAAGCACGGCGCGCAACATGACCTGGGGAGTGATCACCAGGTTTGAAGAACCACCATGACTTAAAGCAAAACTAAAACGCGTGACATTTCTGATGGAACTACCCCCTAAAATTACTTTGACAAAAATAATGATTTCAGAGATGATTTAAGGATTTCAATAGATGCCCAGCTTCGCTTTCGAAGCTGATGGTGTGTGCCACAATCCTCTCTGGTGAAGACAAATGGCTTGCCTTCCCTTAATTCTCAATGGAATATGAGCGATTTTTTTGATCAGTTGTCTGAATCTTATTCTTGGGGTGTATATTTTCGTCCTGGCATTTCCCACATTTCCCTCGATTCTGATTGGTTTGCTTGTGGATTTTGATCTCACAGTGGGCCCTGTGGATGGGTTTGGAGAGCCTTTTTTGGATCTCAAGGCCTAAGATGCCTCAAGAAATGCTCGGGAATAGGCCCATGCTACTACACTCGTCACTCGTCACTCGAACACAACCCACAAACTTCGGTGAACCATGATTTGATCGGGTGCTCAAACATGGCTTCCTCAGATGTGACAAGCCTCCACACCTGGGCAGCAATGCACTGCACTGTCTAATGTGCTGCCAATTTTGCTCGAAATTCTGTGCTTGGCCGGATGGTAAAGTGAATCTTACATGAATCCTGGCTACCTCCTGGATACCTTATGGGCTTCATGCTCATGCTGGGTCTGTTATGGCCTTTGACTTCCTCTTTGTTACTGCGTCAGGGTTAAAACGGTTGACGATTTTGGAGATATTTGATGCCTTGACTTGTCTGCAGCAAGCCGCGGCGATGGCCGCAGTGCAGTGGTGACCGATTGGTGACGGAGACTGATGGAAGAATTCCTCACCCCGTTGGGGATGAACATTCCACAGTTATAGGGTTTCACACAGGTGTGTGGGTCAAAAACCTGGTTGCTGCAGATCCCAAACATGGGCTGGTGGAATTCTTTTCGATGGTGGAATTCTTCCATCAAGAACCTACAGCTCCTGACATGCAGTGTAAATCCCTGTGAAGTCGTATTCTCGCTGTGACCATTGAAGTTCACATTTTGGGCTCTAACCTTACATAGTTGTAATAATTGTCTTAATCTATGACAATATGTGTAAATATAAATATATATTACGCATGTATGCATGTATAGTTCATTATAGTTATATATACCTATCATCATGTCAATCCTGAAGCAAAGGGAGTGTTCCCCGAAATTATCCGAAATTCAAGTGCTGGACGATTTTCCTGGGGTCCATTGATGCCATTTCACCCTTCATCTACTCCAGGATGGTTGGGGACCCGCAATCCCACACGGCTGCAGCCTTTTCTGCACAAAGGATCCTGAGAACCGTTTTTGGTAAAATGGACGCCGCGAAATTTTTAGTCCAGCATTCGCAGGTTGAGGCTAGATCCAGTTCCAAATCTTGGGCCGATGATATGCTTTGATTGGCTGATGAATCTTTGCCATTTCAGAAACAAAAAAAATCGAGACTGTTGAGACATGAGCCACAATATCCAAAGCCACTGCCAGGCGAATGAGGACTTGTCCTGGACATGACAACGACGTTCTGCTGGTCACAATTGGTCCAATTCTGCACATCTGTCAGATGAGTTGAAAATACTGGAGAAAAAACAATTGACAAATGATGGTATAACATGGTATAACCAATTGATAAATACTGGTAATGTATAATACTGTATATACCAAGTCTGCTATATAGTACTCGCCCGTAAGCTCCGTTGTGTTGGGTAACATCCATGATGCTAATGGTTATTGTAGGTTATAAATCCCATAGAATACATTAAGCCTCATAGTATATTAGAACATATATATATATATATATGCAAAATACAAAAACACAATGGGTTTCAATACAAAACACATCTAGAAACAATAAATCGGATTATGACCAGGGCTTAACTTTAGCCGACCTACCATTTCCATCTATTTCTGGTATGATATTAATTACCCTCGGGTGAATTAAATATACATGTGGAACACCCATGGTTTCCTGTTCGGACAATGATCTGACTTAAATGGATACAAATGATGGCTTTTCCACATTTATGTTAGTTCTTAGTTTACAGGAGAGTTTCTGGTGGGTTTTCCACATTTACATTTAATGCTGGCAGACTTTGAAAGTTCCCAGCAGTCGTCTGCAGTTCCTACTTCTGTCAGGACATCTAGCTCCTGCGTGACGGCGTGCGGGCGCGATTGCCCCAGCACATCAGCCAGCCATCGGTGGTTTTTCACAGGGCAAGCCTGAAGTTTTAGCAAACCTTGATAAGGCTTCATTATTACTATATAATTACAATGGATAGTCACTATAGTGCTTATGATCCACTATGATATATCACAACTATACCTTCAAATCATATATCATAGTGGATCATAAGCACTATAATGACTATAGTCATGATCTCCACGAAACCAATTACTAGAAAGGTTGCCATATAGCAGCTGCCAGAGGTCTAGATGCAGAGATGATCCGGGAACATTGGTGATACGACCACACAACGCCATTAAAAAAATCTATCAAAATCCAAGATTAAAAGGATTGGCTGTAGTTTTAAAAACTTTTCTGTATGGGTTTGTCTGAAAATAGGGTATATTCCCAATTATAGCCATTTAATAGGGATAATGATCATTAACCATTGGGTTTAGGGGTACACTATTTTCAGACACACCCATATCTAGTTTTCAAGGATCTAGATTGATTCCAGAATCTCAATTCAAGTGACATTTGACTGGAAACCTTGGTGATTGCGCGCGTTTCCAGCGTAAGGCCTACTGCTGATGCCGGGGAAGCCCACGCGCAGGTGGCATGTTCCAGGCAGTCACTGGGAGTGCTGAATTGCTTAGTTCACATTCCTGGATCACATATGGAGCTTTCCAATCCATGGGGGTACCCCCAAATCATCCAAAATCTTCCTGCTTAGTGAAACCCTTAGTATCCATTTTAAGAAACCCCCCATAATATGAATCCATATCCATATGAATTTGAAGCCACATGGACATGGAATGTGCCAGCATGTGCCATCATGATGCCCATCTTCTTAAAGTTTTTCAAGGAGTCTTGCTGAACAGTAAGGTATGACTCGAACAACTTGGATATTTCTCCCCGGGTGGCACCCTGGAGAACGCACCCGCCATTGACGCTGTGACGTCACTACGCCGTTTCAGAATGACAACCTGAACGCAGCCAGTGAAATTAAATCACAGGATGTCATGACCAGTCTTCAATCCGAAATTATATCATTCAGCTGAACAAGCGAACCCATATAGTCTCGCCTTCAACGAAATGCAATTTTCTTGTCATAAACTCTCCCCTTGGCCAGTCTGTCAACTTCAAGTCTGGGATTGATTCCAAAAAAAAAAGAAATCCTGGAAATGGGATGGTCAATGCCAATGAAATGTCAGTATCTATCTTGGGTCATACTCAATCTTGGTTGACACAGCCGTCCTTGTTCACAGGCACTTTTAAGTGACCTTTAACGAATTCCATATCGACAGGGCCAAGTCACCAACTTGGCTCAATGGTTATGGCTGTGGCTGAAGTACACTAGACACCAGAACTTCTAGCCCTTTCTACTGTCTGTGGTATCGACTTTTCTCCTAGGGTACCTCATGCTTCAAACAGAGTGCCTTCAGTGTGCTCTTATGCGTTCTTTCCTATTGGATGTTCTGTCATCTTTGTTTGGGCTACAGGAACAAATGCATCATGCGAATCGTCGGAAACTGCCATGACTTTGTTTTGAGCAAAACGCATGTTAAAAATACATGTATGACGACATATGGCCAAAAAGATACGGCGATACGGCAACAGAATGCAACACATCATTCACTACTGTATTATGTTCACCATACAAAAGCTAAAAGTGCCACGGTCAAAACATGGTATATGGGTATGATCATCCATTCCATAATGGGCATCCACACATAATGAGTATATATATATATATCCCTATGGATTCATGACAATCCCCCAATATCCGCAATTTACCCAAATTTTTATCAAATTTCGACTGCGGCACATGTGGAAACTAATACCCAAGAGGTGAAGCATCGAACCAAACGGGCCATGGTTTCCGTAACAAACTCTCAGATGACCAGATGGTCAATCCCAATTTTAGGAACTTGAATACCTAGTAATTCTATCTAATTCTCCCCAGGATATGCCAATTTTTATGGTTCTCTATGGTTCAACAGCTCAAAGATCGCATGATTTTCCATCCATGGCAGTGCCTCAGCGGGATGCCAAGGCTGGCCGTGACTTGGGAAGATCCAGGTCGTAGACCTGGTCCAAAAACCCACCATTTGTCCATCGAAAACAATGGCATGTTCGAAAAAAGAAACTTGGCAATATCCACTTGGATCCACTTCATATTGAATCTCTCTCTCTCTCTATATATATATATTGATCAATTTTCACCATCAACATATCAAAATATATCAAATCATCATCTATATGATGCTTCCTAATTGGAGGCGACCCCCAAAAATTCTTGCTTCATATCCCTATTGTTGCTTAAATCATTTGTATCATTTACAATTTTGCTGCTTGACTCATCCCATTTTTGGGGGGTTCCATTGTGGACAGGGCCTCAATGGGTACCCCAAGTCCTCTGGCTCCTCATTTTCCCTATCAAAATTGCTATGGACTGGAAGTAAATTCACAATGTGCCTGGACAAATCTTAATATCAAGTGGTTGGATGTATATATATATATAATTGTATATATATATATATCCCTGTATATACCGTTGTCTCCCAACGCTTGTTGGTTTCATACCCATATTGTTGTTGGTTAACTCCCCATCGCATCCCATTTATGATAAATACAATGAGTTGCTGGTAGTGAAATCACGATACAGTATATCCATGGTTAAATACTCGTGTATTTCATTGTTAAATACCTATCTACCCCATACTATTCGATAATTGTTCGCTGATTATATCCCATCAAAATCCTGATCATATCCACAGCTTTCTTCTTAATAAGACCATGA